ACAAGTCAAGTCTCCAGCTATCAGAAATTAACAATACAATACCCTTTTCTGTCACCAGATTAAGACACAATTCACTTTTTGCCTTTCAGAAATCAACAATTTAGGTTTGGTCTCCAGAATAACCTTTTAACTCCCACAAGTGATTAACATAAAACTTCTTCCTTATCATAACCATGCATTATACAGCAAACACTTGTAATAAGAGTACTCAATGCAAACTACTCTGTTGTTATCCTGATCTAACACCTAATTCTCATCTCTATATACGAGGAAATATGTAGCAGTGAGTGGGGAGAATTAAAAAACAGATCTTGGGAGTTGAAGGGTTAAGACACAAGTTAACACTATGAGTATTGTAAAAGGATATGACAGGTTCGCAGTAATTTATTTAGTATCTCAGATACAGGAAAATGCTTCGTGCCCCGAACATGTGCTCTGTCTGATTACTACGCATGCGCCAGACTACTGCGTAAGCTTAGCTCATGTAACATCTCCATCCTAAAAAAGGGCTAAATGAAAATCTAAGCTTCAACGATAACTAACAGCCCAAATAAATTAATTAGATAAAAGGGAATGATAAAAATAATAATAATGAAAAGCGAAAGTATATGTCTCTCTGAGTGTTCTTACGAGTGTTCGAACGGCAAAAGGGCTTATAAGTCTAGTCTAGATGCCTCCTTCACAATGCGGCCACTCCTGGTTGTCACGGGCAGGTTATCATTGCTTTGGTTGGAAGGTACCGGTTAGTGGGCAGCCGCTTGGGGTAGTTCTGATGACGACATCGCGAACGGTAAGGGCTCTGTCTCATGGCTGTCTGGCACGTGTACTCTCTTGGTTGCCAACAACTTGCCTTCCACAGGTTATTGGTGTTTTCTGTAGAGGCTTCAGTTGTACTCTGTTGCGTCGTAGCTCAGATCCACCAGTTTTCTTGACTATGTAGGACCTTGGTTTACCGGTCTCTTCCTTCACCTCTGCTGGAATCCATGTTTTGATTTGTGGCTGGAAAATGACTACTTGCTCGCCTTGATTTAGTCACCGAGGTTTATGTGTCGACTGGCGGTCGTTCTGGTTTCTCTGGCTGTCCTGTCGATTTTGTAGCTATTCTCCGTGGCTATCAAAGACTTGTGAACGTTATAGATGGCCGCTGCACGGCAGTTGGGTGTGGTCCGGTATGTCAGCAGTGCTACAAGTATCATCGTGGATATGAAATTCATTTTGCTTCGCTTATTGTCACGATTTTACCGACTCAAGAGGTACCCTTTCTTTTCTTTAGCTACCCTCTGTCCTTGGCGCGCTCGCTCTGACTTGCCACTCAATTGCCTCACACACAATAATTGTATGTATCAGCGAAATTGTACTAAAGATGGAGCTCTCATTCATGCCGTCATGCAAGCGCCTTACGAGTCCTCAGGTTACTTGTTTTTCAATAACCAGGTTGCTTTTAATAGTGATCACCGACGTTGTCACATCGGTAAATATAAAACATGGAGAAACTGTACCCAGGGTTACAACTCGAAGAGGCACGAATATCACGCAATTTTCATGCAATTTGGTTTTCAAAGAAAATGGCGCATTTTCAGGAAACCTCGCCCGAATTTTGTGACTATGTCTTTTACTAAAGTGTTTTTCAGCGTCGTTGAAAATTCGCACTTATTAAAAGAAAATGCACGAGCAAGTAGGGCGAGTGCAATTTGTAGTCTCTGAAAAATTTAAAAGTGGTTATCATACCAAATTTCACGAGAAGTCATGCTTCATAATTTTTTCATACTTTTTATGAAAAAAAACATCACAGAAGGTCAAGAGAGACAAAATTTTTGCAGCGTGCGCTGTATTTGTAATTTGCACTCGTTTTACAACTTTGCACTCGTGTTACATCAAAAATGCACTCGTTTTAGCCTATCAGATGCGGTTAATTTTTTCATGTATATCATTAAATATCATAATATCCGGTACCAACATGCTGTAAAAGCTAGAATGTCTAAGATCATTTAGAATTCAGCGTTTGCTCTAGGAATACCTGCCCTACTAATGCTTCCCTCTCCTGATCTTTTCTATTCGAACACAAAATCCCAATCAAACTGGCAATATTGTTGAGCAAACAGATTTCTCTCGTGGCTATGATCATTGCGAAACAGAAAGTTCTACAAAGTCCCATTTTCACACTTGAATAGGCCAGCAAACACTGACAAGAGCTATCCTTCAGCTAAGTTGCGCGTTATCTGCTGTTTGTGTACTGGGAAATATATTTTGTCCTATTTTTGGAATTAAAAGAAAAATGTTTTTGTACAATGATAATTACTTTTGTATTTAACTTATGCTCCACCTGTAGAAAGAGTTTGTTTCCATTGTGATTTGTGACGTGTTTACGCAACTATAATTATTTATTGGCCGGAGAAATTTGGACGGCCTTAATACCGATAAGGGTTGGCGAAAAAATTACTTGCCGTGGCGTAGTTTGTCCAACTTGTTGAGGCTAATGGTTATAATACCAATCAAAGCGAACTAATCAGACAATACTTCATAAATTAAACGCAGACTGCAGCAACAACAATGTTTAATGAAACTAAACAAGGAATTAACTATGATACTATTAAGATAGAACACAGCCTTAAGTATATCGGCACTACTGTGTTGAACCAGTCTCACGCAAGCCGAGGGAGTTAATAAATATATTTGAATGAAATATTTTACAACTTTGTGTAATGAAGCTAAAGGGCATTGATATTTTTAGCAAAAACGTCTGAAGTCTGCTCGTATATTGAATTCTAAGAGGGCGGCGAGGATAACTAAAATTTAAAAATTTGTTTTAAATGCTCAGTAACTTTATATTTATGGCTTTTTGATGGCCGTTTTCCTGAGCTGCTTCTAGATGTCTTCAAAGTGAAGTAAACGTGAATTGAAGGACTTAATGCAGTAAATGGTTTGAACCCGGGAGTAACATGTGAAGGTGTAGTCTGATCGTCCGGGTGAGTGTAGTCCTGAGAAGGACTGTTGTCGGTGGTAGTGACTGACGTTTCGACAACCTGTGCGGAAGTCATCATCAGAGTCAAGTGAATGATTGTTGTCAGTAGAATGTTCTTATTCCAGTTCGTGTGAAATGATCGGTTGGTTTTGCCGTGATGTTATTGGCTGTAAGACTCAAGTGACGTAAGTCGGTCGTGATTGGTCTGTTTCGATCTGTCGGTAAAGTTAGGTCGTTCTTTTTCGGTCGTTTGTGATGTTTATGTCGTGAATGAGTCGTTTGTATGGAGCGGGTAGTTGTTGACATCTGTTTAGGGGAGTCTGTTCTAAGTTAGTAAACCAGCTTTCCAGAGTCAGTCGTTGAAAATAGTCAGTGCTGTAGGTTAGGCATTGCGCAGAGTCCCAGTCAATGTTGTGGTTGGTAAGTCGATGGTGTTCAGCAATGTGATTGCTGACATCACCTTTCCTCGTCGCCCGTCTGTGTTCAGTCAGTCTTGTTGTGAGGTTTCTGCCAGTCTCACCGATGTAGGAGGCTTGGCAGTCGGAACAATTGATCTTATAAATCGTTCCCTGTCTGTTCCTCGGTTCGTCTTTGTCTTTAACGTTGGTTAGTAACTGACGTAGTGTGGTGATGGGTTTGTGGGCGACGCGGATATTGAAGGGTAGTAAGATGCGCGAGATGTTTTCAGACATGCCTTTTATGTACGGTATGGTTGCTGTAGTCGTAGGGGTTGCGGTGTCGTTTGTTTCGGTAGTGGTAGTGGGTCGGTGAGTGTTTCGTCGGATGAAGTCGTTGTTGTAGTTGTTCTTCGTAAAAACACGGTGAAGGTATTTGTTCTCGTCGGATAAGCTGTCTGTCGAGTC